GCTCCCGGGGCTGCCGGGGAGGAGGGTAACGCACAGCAGCGTGTTGCTGGCGTGGCATTCCCGCGGAGCTGGCAGATGCAGCGGCGCTGGAGGTTTAAACTGGAGGTTTAATGGGCGAGTGAATCGCTGTTACCTGGGGCTGCAGCCCTTGCTGGCAAGGGAAGGACGCGAATCTGCAGGCGGCGGGGAAGGAGGTGGCGGGCAAAAACGCTCGCGAGAGGGTCCTGCTCTTTCTGCAGGCTGATGCGATGGGGTTTTTCCTCAATTGAAAGGTGTAACCCTGGTTATGAATAAAATAATTCCTCTTTGTGAGCAATAACAGATGTTTCGTGAAAGATCTCGTCGGTGTGAGGAGAGCTCTCGGGCTGTGCAGGGCTGGGTGAGGGGGTCTGTGCTCCAGACCCCTGTGGGGATGCAGGATGCGGAGAGCTCTCCAGCCGCTGCCATAGGGGCTTTCGGAGCAGAGCTGAGGTTGCCGGAGCCTCTGTCTCGACTAGGCCCGGCCTAGAGCTATCCCTCGCTGTGCGGGGGTTGTACCCAGCCCGGGGGCTCCTTGCCCGGTCCCCGACGATGCCGCCTTCCTGCTGCTGCAGGAGCTCGTTAGCCGTGATGAGATTAGGGGCTGCTCGCTTCTGGCCCGAGTCATCATTCCTGATTTAATCAATGCCTTTGAGAACGTTTCCTCTAATAACAGCGTAATGCTGATTTTACGCGATGGGTTGTGCTCGTCAGGAACCAGGGTTTGACCACGGGCCCTGGCTGTGCCGGGGCCGCCGGCGTTGGCTGCTCAACCTGCGCATGGATGTGGTCAAGGTGAGGTGAATGCCATGTTTTTTACCTCAATTCCAATTCTTTTTCTCCTGGGTGATCTGCTCTAACCACCAGACCCCAATGAACCGTGTGCTCTGCAGAGGTAAGACCACCGAAGCCAAGGGCAGGGAATGGGGCTCTGGCTCTTGCCAGCCCGAGCAGCGGGTCCCAGCAAGGCCGAGCTCACGCCAGAGCTGCCCTCCTCACGGGCTCCAATATCCATCCGCCCAGGAGCACACGCGCTCCGTGGAGAGGACAAGTTTCTGCCCCAGATTCCATCTCATTGATGGGAAAAGCTCCAACGAGCAGAGTGTCCAAACCCCTTGGCCAAAGGTCCTCGGCAGCAGCAGGAAGCCCAGGCAGAGCTTCAAAGCAGAGGAGCTTGAGGCATCGCTCTTGCCTTTGGGCTCATGGGTGGGTGAAGCTGCTTGGGACAATGAGTCCTATGTCAGACATCCCGTGCTGCTAATTAGCAGCTCCTCTCTTCTACATTCCCTAGCTCTTCCCTTCTACATTCCCTCCTGGAATGGCAGAGAGCAGCCAGGTAGTCCCGGCTCTGGCAAGCGTGCCAGTGATTGCCAGAGGTGCCCTTGGATGGGAGATGTAACGTGAGGATGGGCTGAGAAGGGCCTGGATCCCGGCCAAGCCGGGTGTCACTTGGAGCCTGAGCTTTGGACTTAGCTCAGCTTTATTCTCCACTCCTTGTATCGCTCCGAAATGGAGTATAAACACGTGCAGGATGTGTATTTAAAGTCTATCTGTTTGCCAAACATTGTCTGTCCCCTTGGTTAGGAAGCAGAGCACAGGTTTCCATAGGAAACCGAGGGAGCAGATTTTCCAGGGAGTTCAGACCCGTTCTTCACCGTGGCATAAACACAGGCTGCTCGTGGACTGCGAGCCGCTTCCTGCCTGTGGGAATTCGGGATGCGTGGTGGGCAGGATATCGCTTTGCTGGCGAGTCTGTGCCTAAATCCTCGTTTTGCATTAGGCCTCTCACTCCTTTTCAGCCTGCCGGGATAAAACGGGGCACGTTGGTCCATGGAGACTCCCCGGCAATCCCAGAGCAGCCTTCATTTCCCTGCAGGCCGAAACACACCTCGCCTGATGATTTAATTGGCCTTGGAAATAAAGTTAGAAAGTGTTGTTTTCCAAAGTATGCATTTAAAAACTATTTGCCTCTGAAATGTATGCAAAGATTTGATGGTTTTTGTTCTTCTCTCAGTCAGTATGATCCCAGCTGTGAGCACGTTGCCAGAAGAAGGCCTTAATTCATTTCCTTCATGTAAATCGCTATAATTAAACACACAAGACCCACGTCAGCCTTTAGATGCACAAAGCTGCGCGTTCGAGTTAACGTGGGAAATTTCTTGGAGTTCTGAGACTGCGAGGCTAGGGAACGCTCTTTTTTTTCTGGAAGTTTTCTGCTAGTTGATTATTGCTTTTAGTTTTCCAGTAAAATAGGGACATAAAATATAGCAAAATGACACGTTGACAGACGCCTGCTTTTCCTATGGCTGTCAGCTAGGAAAAAAAAATATTGTATCACCTGGAAAGTGGAGCTCAGAGGTGGCCTTTTTTCCTGTGCGCGGTACAGCCGAGGCTGGGGCGGGTGTACTCCTCTCGGAGGGTTGTTGTGTCCAGACAGGGGGAATGTGCTTGAAAATAAACAAAACTAAATGCGTTTTCTTTCCTTTCTAAGATTTATGGCTTACGGCATAATTTGTTGATGAGGGGCATCCGAATGAGAAAAGTATTTCCATTGTAGTGGTTTGATCTTGTCCTGTTGATTTGTGCTGCTAAATTTCAGGATTGGGGATGAGCTCCGTGGGCATAAAATGTGATTAATGAAAGCATAATTTAAGTTGATTAAAAAGGGCTTAAAATAACATGATTAAACCTTGGAGATTCGGGTGGCTTATTGGATTACACGTTCATTCCAGGAGGGTCATTGTAAGATGCAGAATGCAATTAAATTGGTCATCCTCTTTTGGGGCCCCATGCCTTGTCATCTGCAGAGCTGTTGTACCAGGCCACCTAGTTATGGTCAAGGGAGGGCTTTGATTTATTTATTTCTTAAAGAAAAAGAGTATTTAAATGTAAAAACAACAAATAAATTGAATAGATTGATGGAATATAGATGGATACTTAACCAGGTAGTTATGCTGTGGAAGAGCATTAACCTGGTGGACTCTGCACAGCGTTTGCTGTCACGTGGATGGGGAATTGTTGGGAATTTCAGTCTCCTCCAGCTCGGGAAGGTGTGTGAGGTGCCCACACAGCCCTGGAGCAGCCGGAGCACTCAGGATGCCGCAGGAGGTTGTTATGGAGCTGTGGAAAAGCTGCTGCATTGCATAGGATTTTCCATAGGCTCCTACAGAGGTTCCTTGTGCGTAGATCTCCAACTATTCTTCTCTTCCTCTCTTTAAAATCATCTTCCTGCAGCCTCCACTCCCATACTTGAAAAGCTTTTTAGTAGTGGAGGGGAAGATTATACCGAGCCGCTATAATCCTGCCTCCAAGTGAAGGTGATTTTTCAGTGCTAAGTTCATCAGAAATGGCAAAGATAGAGTAAGGCTTCTCCTCTCTCAGCACTGATGTTCAGTGATGTAAATGTAAATTGTTTTGGGGGAAAATGGGCCTTAATTGGTCTCAGCAAGTTCAGCTCTGGGCATCGATACAGAATTTCATCCCCTTTTGCAGAGCCCTACGGTTCTTTGAGGGCTCCTGTTGATCATAATGTTACATAATTACTGTATTATATAATTATTTATTTACATTATATAATTATATACCAGTGTAATTATTATATAACTCTGTATCGTGCAATAAAATGTTCCTGTACTATAGAATCTGTAATGGAAGCATTTACTCCAAATAAGTACAAATAAGCTCAATTAGTCATTGTAATCTGCAGGGTTTCTATATATCACACAACAGATGAGAGTTTTTTGTTAATGCAAAGTAACCTTATTAGTAGCGCTGAAATCTTGCTCATTTTAGGCAATTATAGACTTGAAATTTGTTCAATTGAATAAAAATATATATGGGAAGGTCCTAGCAAGGATGAACTACAGTCGTAAGATGATGATGTTCCTGGTGTAGCACTGAGCGCAAAACAGAAGTGCCCATAAAGATGAAAGTGGAGAAGGAGAACGTGGAAGATAGTCTGATTTCCTCCAAATCCTTGACAGGTTAAGAGTGAATATTAAACTTCTGACAGGTCCCCACAAGGCTGTTTTTAGATATGAAGGTCATAAGAACAAAGACAGCTGATGGATTCCATGGCTTGTTTTCATCAGGAAGTGTGGTCATCTCGGAACTAAAAATAAATGGCTTTTGGCGTTTTTTTCCTGGTTGTTTTTTGGAACTTCAAGTGTTCTGCAAGAGTCCAAGCACAGCATTTCAAGTGGAAATTACCATTAAGGTGCAGACACGGCGCTTTAAATATTGTTGCATTAAAGCTGAAGAAGCCAGAGAGAAAAGGCTCCGTTGGCAGCCGCAGGCTGTGGGCTGCGCTCGTTTATCTCGTTTATATTCATTAGTAGCTATTGCCTGAAGATTTTCAGGGCCACGGCTGTGTTAAAAGGCAGCATGGTAATGCAGGAACAGGACGTTTTAGGAGAAAATTGTAATTAAAAAATTAGCTGACCCAAGCCGCTGGCTTCGTTGACTTTCCCCCTTCCCCGTAGCTCTAATTCTCGCAGTAAGCCCTCTGATAAATGGCTAAACTAATTCCTCTCGTCAGGAGAAGTTGCTGTGTCAGTTTAATGAGAAATCCTTTAGCATAAGGAGCTTAGAGGTTTGTGATTTGCTGGGAGAAACCCAGGCACCTGTGTTTCTGTGCAGCTGCACGCTGCCAAAGAGAGGCAGGTGTAGGTGTTTTGGTGGCCAACTGGGTGTTTTTGTGGCCAACTAGGTGTTTTCTTCAACGAATTCAGAAAGCAAGGCCCAAAGATGAGGGCTTCAGGCTTTCCGACTGGCTTATTGATGGCTGTATTTTATAGCTCAGTAGGGAGTTGAGTTGTGGTGAAGGGCAATAAGTTGTGCTTTGCGGTTCAGAAAAACATGAATTATTTGATGCAGACGTCTCCCTTTGGTTGTTTATGTACTGGTGGAGAGGCCAAAGAAAACGCGCTGGTTATTTTCCCTCTTTTAAATTGATTTTATTTTTTAATGCGTTTATTCCGCAGGATCCTGCAAACCAAAAATGTGGGAGGAAGAAAACAGTGTCCTTCAGCAGCATGCCCTCGGAGAAGAAGATCAGCAGCGCGAGCGACTGCATCAGCTTTATGCAGGCCGGGTGTGAGCTGAAGAAAGTTCGTCCAAATTCCCGGATTTACAACCGTTTTTTCACTCTGGATCCTGACCTGCAGGCCCTTCGCTGGGAGCCCTCCAAGAAGGACCTGGACAAAGCCAAGCTTGATATTTCTGCTATAAAAGAAATCAGGCTAGGGAAGAACACGGAGACGTTCAGGAATAACGGGCTCGCGGACCAGATTTCTGAGGACTGCGCTCTGTCCGTAATCCACGGTGAGAACTACGAGTCCCTTGACCTGGTTGCTAATTCGGCCGACGTGGCCAATATTTGGGTTTCGGGGTTAAGGTACTTGGTTTCTCGTAGCAAACAGCCTCTGGATCTGATAGAAGGCAGCCATAACACCCCGCGGTTTGCGTGGCTGAAAACTGTGTTTGAGGCAGCAGATGTCGACGGTAACGGCATTCTGTTGGAGGACACGTCTGTGGAGCTCATCAAGAAGCTCAACCCCACCCTGAAGGAAGCAAAGATCCGGTTAAAATTCAAGGAGATTCAGAAGAGCAAGGAAAAACTGACCACGCGAGTCACGAAGGAGGAATTTTGTGAAGCGTTCAGTGAACTTTGCACCAGACCTGAAGTTTATTTCTTACTCGTGCAGATATCTAAGAACAAAGAGTATCTCGATGCCAACGACCTCATGCTGTTCTTGGAGGCTGAGCAGGGAGTGACCCACATAACGGAAGAGATGTGCCTAGACATCATACGTAGGTATGAACTTTCTCAAGAGGGGCGGTTGAAAGGCTTCCTCGCCATCGATGGCTTCACGCAGTATTTGTTGTCCCCAGAATGTGACATTTTCGACCCGGAACACAGGAAGGTTGTCCAGGACATGTCGCAGCCTCTGTCTCATTACTACATCAACGCGTCCCACAACACGTATCTGATAGAAGACCAGCTCCGGGGGCCGGCCGACATCAACGGCTACGTCCGCGCCTTGAAGATGAACTGCCGCAGCATCGAGCTGGATGTGTGCGACGGCCCGGACAACGAGCCCGTCGTCTGCAACCGGCACAACGTGACGGCGCCGCTCGCCTTCCGCAGCGTCATCGAGGTCATAAACAAGTTGGCCTTCTTCGCCTCGGAGTATCCCCTCATCCTGTGCCTGGGGAACCACTGCTCGCTGCAGCAGCAGAAGGTCATGGTCCAGCACATGAAGAGGGTCTTCGGAAGCAAGCTCTACACGGAAGCACCTTTGCCGTCGGATGCCTACCTGCCGTCGCCCGAGAAGCTGAAAATGAAGATCATCGTGAAGGGGAAGAAGCTGCCCTGCGATCAGGACGTGCTAGAAGGAGAGGTCACGGATGAGGATGAGGAGGCTGAGATCTCCCGGCGGCTGTCGGAGGACTTCTCGAGGGAGCCCAAGCTCATCTGGCTCTGCAGGGAGTTGTCCGACTTGGTGTCCCTCTGCAAGTCTGTCCAGTACAAGGACTTTGAGACGTCAATGAAAAGCCAGAATTACTGGGAAATCTGCTCCTTCAGCGAGGCCGAAGCCAACCGGTTTGCAAACGAGTACCCTGAGGACTTTGTCAACTACAATAAGAAGTTTTTGTCCCGGGTGTACCCCAGTGCTATGAGAATAGACTCCAGTAACCTAAATCCTCAAGATTTTTGGAACTGCGGTTGCCAGATAGTGGCCATGAACTACCAGACCCCCGGGCCCATGATGGACCTGCACACGGGCTGGTTCCTGCAGAACGGGGGCTGCGGCTACGTCCTGCGGCCTTCCGTGATGCGCGAGGAGGTCTCCTACTTCAGCGCCAACACCAAGGGCATCGTCCCCGGCGCCTCTCCCCAAGTGCTGCACGTCAAGATCATCAGCGGGCAGAACTTCCCCAAGCCCAAGGGCGCGTGCGCCAAGGGCGACGTTATAGACCCCTACGTCTGCATCGAGATCCACGGCATCCCTGCAGACTGCACGGAGCAGAGGACCAAGACGGTGCAGCAGAACAGCGACAACCCCATCTTCGACGAGAGCTTCGAGTTCCAGATCAACCTGCCGGAGCTGGCCATGATCCGCTTCGTGGTGCTGGACGACGACTACATCGGCGACGAGTTCATCGGGCAGTACACGGTGCCGCTGGAGTGCGTGCAGCCGGGCTACCGCCACGTGCCGCTGCGCTCCTTCGTCGGGGACCTCCTGGAGCACGCCACGCTCTTCGTGCACGTGGCCATAACCAACCGCGGCGGCGGCGGCGGCGGGAAGGCGCCCAAGCGCAGCCTCTCGGCGCGCATCGGCAAGAGGGCCCGCGACTACACCCTGCTCCGGAGCACCGGCCTCAAGGCCATCGACGACATCTTCAAGCTGGCCGTGCCCCCGCTGCGGGAGGCCACGGACCTGAGGGAGAACGTGCAGGTAGGATGGCGCTCCGGGCCCGCTCTGCCCGCAGGACCCGCTCGCGGCTTCGCGGTGGTCGCCTCGGGCTGCGTGGGAACCCAGCTGAGCAGCGCTACACGCTGAGCTTCCCGGCCTAAATGGCCGCAGTCAACCGTAGCTGTCTCCTTGGGAAAGGTTTGGAAACAAGGCGCTTCGCTCCCTTGAAATCGGGAGGAAAATGCATAAAACTTGACTGACCCCGCTTTTCTGGACAGAGGCTAAAGCGAGTTAAATGTGGGCAGCTGGGGAAGTTTACAAAATGACATAAGCTTTAAATGCCTCCCAAAGGACTGTCCTTAGCATATTTTTAAGAATGGAAAACTCTTCCCAGACTTTCCCTCCCCGCGGGCCTGGTAAGTCCGAACCTCTGACTCCACCTTCTGTCTAGGCCAGAGTTAGGTGCATGAACTCTACGAAAGAGATTACTCATTGAACCAGACTCAAATCCAGCCTTCACTTGCCCCCCGGGCTGCATTTCCCCACGAGAATTCCATTCTCGGGAATGCTTTCTGGAAGACACAGTCATCAGGTTTAACTTCCCGCTAATCTTTGATTAATGGAGGAAGCCTCGATGAATATTTTGGGCACTGTCTGATGGCTGTATTTTTCAGGAAGATGTTGTGGGGCGGCACGTGGGCGCTATGGGTTGTTCGAGCATTCTCTTCCCTAGCTGTTGTGCAGCTTAATCTGCACAAAATACAGGCGTGCTCACAGAATGACTCAACTGAAGCTGGATTTCCAAGGAAATTCCTCCACGAGCCCGCTGACCTGGGCGATAAGTCAGTTCTGTCGTGCTGGTTTGGGCTGGCCTGTGTGTCCAGCATTGATTTTCTTGCACGTGACCCTGGACAAGGAGGGAGTGTTTCTCCCGCTCTATGCTGCGCTGATGCAAGGCTGGAAGGAGAGAGTTTTTTTCCTGCTTGCCTTTCCCACGGGAAATCCAGGGTCTGTCAAGCACGTTCCTGCCGGAGGACGGGAACGACTGATACTGCTTCCAAAGCAGCTGGAAGCTGCTCACTGGAGAAGCAGTGTTTTAGGCGGGTTGGTGAACGCGCTGCAGCCCAAACCTTGTCCCTGCGGAGGCAGAAACGTCCCCTGAGCCCTAGGGGAGGCGGCGGCCCCCTCTTCTTTCCTCTGCTCCTCACAGGCCACCCCTTACTCCCGCACCATTCCCTAATGCCAACACTGCCCTATTCTGGATATGCTCAACATGAAGCCCAACTTAACCCTTAAAACCCGCTAGATGCTAAGAAGAACCTTCCAGTTAAAGGGTGACCCATGGCTGTGAGCGGGGAGGCGCGGGCGGCCTCGTGCCCGTAGGGGCAGGCCCGGGGTTGTCTCCCCTTTTGCTCAGGGATGTCTCTCCCTTCCCGACGTGCCCGGGGGTGTCTCTGTTTTCCGGACGTGCTCACGGGTGTCTGCTCCTCCCTGCAGAACGCCGTGGTGTCGGTGAAGGAGCTGTGCGGGCTGCCTCCCATCGCCAGCCTCAAGCAGTGCATCCTCACGCTGTCGTCGCGGCTCGTGGGCGCCGACAACGCGCCCTCCGTGGCGCTCGCCATGAGGGACGCCTTCCCCTACCTGGAGCCCCTGGGCGCCCTGCCCGACGTGCAGAAGAAGGTCCTGGCCGCCTACGAGCTGGTAGGTGCCTCTCGCCTTGCCCGGCACTTAGGGCAGAGGCGCCGAGTGATGACACGTATAGTGTGGGATAATTCTGGGAGCATCCCGCTGCTCCCAGGGGCCTTGAGGGATGGATGATGCTCCATCTGCAAAGGGGCTCCTCCTTTCCAGGGTTTGGTTGTTGCTGTTGTAACACGCGTCCCAAAGCAAAGTAGGTTAGGGGCAAAGGGGAGGCACCGAGAGGATTTAAAGATAAAAATACTGAAAATACTCCCAAATAACCTTTGGGTTCCTCCCAAGGTAGCTCAGTGCTGGTAGAAGAAAATTAAGTTTTGGTAATAAAATATCAGCTGTGATAACAGCAGGATGAGGATGTGGAATCCAGTTGTTCGCTGTATTTTAGGTTTGACTGTTTTTTGGGATAGAGTTGTTACATAGCATAACGTTTGCCAGAGACAGCAGATTGCCACAAAAATAAGAAAGCTTTTTGTCTTTGGAAGGCCACTTTACGCAGATGTACCAAATATTATCTTGGTAGCTCTGCTTGCTTATATTATCTTGGTAGCTCTGCTGGGAGGAGTACGCACGGGGCGTCCCGAGGCCGTCCTGTGCTCTGGAAATGGCCTTTTCATCTCAATGGGTGAAAGGCCTTTTTCAGATGCAGGCAAGAACATTTGTAAAACATTGTATAACTGTTTTTAATCATTTGATCGCTGTACAGCTGCTGCAGTCATTTTTGTCTCTGCTGGAGAAGAGGCAGGAGGTTCAGCATCAGCAACTGGGCAGAGGAGAAACCCGAGTGAAGGTTGATTTGAGGAAACCTCATTTGTCTTTTCTGTATTAAAAACCAGAATTGTCTGTATCAATCTTGACGTGTGAAAATGCAACCGTTGTGCCTCGGGGAGGGATTTACTGACTTAGCACTGCAAAGGGATCCTTTTTGCTGTGGGGTTTGTAGGGATCCTGCGCCCAGTTCTCCTTAATAAGGCAATGGTTGTGCAGCACAAGCGGGAAGCTTCAGGGAGCCTGCAAGAATACTTGTGGAGAGAGGAAGAAAGAGGAAGATTAGGGAAAAAAGGATGAGATTTTTTTTTTTTTTGTACTTTGGTCGAGGAAGGAAGACTCAATAGCTATATGGAATACCATATAAAATGTTTTGGGTATGGTTTTTAAGGACAAGGCGTGCTACAGATCAACCTGGTAAGCTGTTGATAGATGTCACCTCCACGAACTGCATCAACCTGCTTGCTGCATGTCTTCAACTCCCCAGAAACGCCTGTTCACCTCAGAGGGCTTTTGGGTGAAGAGGTCTGAGAGCAATTTAAAAAATAGCCTCTCTCTTGTGTTGATGGGCTGCTTTATTGCTGAGTGCCTTTTACAGCAGCACTGGCAGCTTTGTGCTGAGTCTCGTAGTGGGAAATTGCCAAGCGGGGGCCTGCCTTGCTACCTGAGGTCCAATGCATGGGCAGTGTGCGTGTTCTCTTCCCCTTGGGAAGCATCCCGTGTTCCACAGGTTCCAAAAACAGTTCTGAAAAGTCATCTCTGATTAAAAAATAAGAAAAAACCTGCACATTTTTGCAAATCTGAAGATCTGCGCAGAGAGCACGGGCAGTGCAGGCAAGTGGCAGTGCAAGTGCTGTGGGACCGCTCCCTCGAGGACAGGGAAGTGTCTGTTCCCAGCTCCTGGCCTTCATCAGCAGCTGCGCGACACAGCGACTGCTTTGTTTTGTCCTGGACAATTAATTTTACCAATTCACCCTTAATATTTTTTTTGGGGCGGCGCAGGGCTCGGGAGCCGCCAGCTCAGGTGGGCAGCTCCGTAACCTGCTGCACGGAGGCCGGTGCTCCCCGCTGGCCCCGGAGAGGAGCCCTTGGGTAAGGACAAAAGGGACGGGGCCCAGCTGGGCATGGCAGATGGTCGAGTTATTCACTGCGAGCAGTTATGCTGCAAAGTCGAGGTTTTTTGGTTGGGAACGGCTCAGAAACAGATTGCGGTTTCTCGGTCTGCGTGGTGGGTTGATTTGCTGATGCAGGCTCGCGTTAGCGTGGCGCGGCGCGTGCACGCTGCTTGGCTCAGCGGCGCTTTTCCTCCAAGACTGGAGGGCTGAATCACTTGAAAACTAAAAGCAACGAGCAACTGGTTGTCAGTGTCCTTATTTCTGTGCAAATCTCCTGGGCATGCAGAAATATTTCTATACAAATAAAAGAAGCTCCATAAGCATCCCTATAATTCTCTACAATTTTTTGAATAGCCAGTAATGAAAAGAGCAGAAAGGTGGGATGGAGAAATGGTTTTTATTGCGTTTTGGAGAGGTGGTGGAGGTGTTGGAGAGGTGCTACCTGCTTGTCCTGCTGCCTCCTGTTGGGTCCCGGTGTCCCTGGGCAGGCGGGATGGATATTTATTCCCAAGGAGAAAGGTAATTTTCCCTTTTTACACATATGCAAAATGACCAAACAGATTTTGGTAAACTCTTGAAATCCGTATTTCGGCCGGGACAGTGTCCTCCCCAGAGGAGCAATTTTCCACAGTGCTCTGAGCAGAAGACAGGCAACATTCCCAGCCCAGCGAGGGTGCTCGTGGGCTGACGTCAAGCAGAGCCCGTGCATGGACCCTCGTGTGGAATCGCTATCTGATTTCAGGGCTTTTGCACCCAAAATGACCAGGAAAGCAGCTGTGGGGTTTCTTTTTCCTTGGTGCGTTTTTCCCCTGCTTTAAGCCCAACCCTTGTGTTTCCCCAGAAATACTTAGAAGCCAAAATATGGGGTTGGTGGCACCGCTTCTCGTGGGGAGCCCCGGGCAGGCGCTGACCAGCAGGACCCAGCGCCTGCCCGGAGACATGGATGAGCAGCCCCGGGCACCCCTGCCTGGCACCAGACCTGCCAGCACATGGATAATGGCTCGGCTGGAATATTTATGAGGAGGCTCTTTGAATTTCCCCTTCCGTATCATTTATCTTCCCAGCAGGAGCTGGGCTTTAATTTGCCACCAGGAGCTTTTCCTGCCTTTTTGTCCTTTTTTGGAGGGGGTTGAGAGACTGCTGTGCTAATTCCCCTTCCCCTTTTCGGTTGGCAGGATAGCTCATAATCAAAGAATGAAATCTGTTTCTCATGCAGGAGTTCACTGAAGTAAAAAGAAATAAAATTTTTTGGCCATTTTGTGCTGATGCTGTGACTGAACAACCTTTTTTTCACATGCAAGAAATAAGCCTGTGGACTTCACAGAATCACAGAATATTTAAGGTTGGAAGGGACCTCTACAGATCATCTAGTCCAACCTTCCTGCTCAAGCAGGCACACCTAGAGCATGTGGCACAGGGTGGCATCCAGGTGGGTTTTGAAGACCTCCAGAGTAGGAGACTCCACAACCTCCCTGGGCAGYCTGTTCCACTGCTCTGTCACCCTAACAGTAAAGAAGTTGCTCCTCACCTGGAGACGGAACGTCCTGTGCTCCAGCTTGTGGCCATTACCCCTCGTCCTATCGCTGGCCACCAGTGAGAACAGCCTGTCCCCTTGTCCCTGCATTCTCCCTTCCGGAACTTATACACATTAATCAGATCCCCTCTGAGCCKTCTCTTCTCCAGAGAAAACAGGCCCAGCTCACTCAGYCTCTCYTCATACGAGAGATGTTCCATTCCCTTAATCATCCTGGTTGCYCTTCTCTGGACCCTCTCSAGAAGCTCCACGTCCCTCYTAYACTGGGGAGCCYAGAGCTGCCCCCAGTACTCCASGTGCGGCCTCACCAGMGCTGAGKAGAGGGGCAGAATCACCTCCCTTGACCTGCTGGCAACACTCCTCCYGATGCAGGCCAGGATCCCTTTGGACTTCTTGGCCACAAGGGCACACTGCTGACTCATGGTGAACTTGGTGTCAACCAGGACTCCCAGCTCCCTCTCCGTGGAGCTGCTCTCCAGCAGGTCAGCCCCTAATCTGTACTGGTGCCAGAGGTTATTCCTSCCCAGGTGCAGGACCCTGCCCTTGTCCTTATTGAACCTCATGAGGTTCCTCTCTGCCCAACTCACCAGCCTGTCCAGATCCCTCTGGTCCCACGGTACTCACTTTAAGCTCACGTGAGTACCGTGAGCTTAACGTTTCAGTCACATTTATTTACCTCTCTGTTTATTTAAAGAGAATACTTTCTGCAAAGCTAGCCTTGATATCCACAGAGCCACAGGCACCACTGGTCTGTAGCAGCCCTTCCCAGCCAGGTCTATGGGAGAAGCTTCCATGATTTTAACGGTGGATAAGATGAACCAAGTTCAGGTGACTTGTTTTCAGCATTCCAGAGGAATATTTAGATGAAATGAGCTGTTTTGTGGGGAAAAATCAGCATGTGTGGTTGAGTCGGGTGTTCCTCGCCACCATTAGCGTGTTAAATGTGGCTCTTGCTCCTGGGACGTGGGCCTTGTGTTGGTTTTGCTGCCCCGTAAGTCCTCTCCTGGTGTTCATGTGGGCTAACTTTTGATGCAGCTATTGCATTTGGGTCCCAATTTCTACAAAGAGAGGCTAGAAAAGTAGCTGTTTGAACCACTGTAGTGCTCAAAGTTAAGCACGGGCTTCGATGCTTCTTAAAATCAATGCATTTATGTCTTGGTTACGTTACTGATAACCACTTAGTTGAGGACTGTATTTATTTCTTGTTTCTTCTAAATAAAATGGCTAATTATAAAGGCTTTTTGCTACTAATCCTATTTTCTCCTGCAGCCACCTCTGTTTCCTTTGTGTTATTTCCAGCGGAGTTTCCCTGATATAAAACAGCCTTTCTCCAACTTCGGAAGCAAAACATTTCCTGAGCATCCGTCACTGCGCGTCAAGCAGACCTGAGAGACCTGATGCAGAGGAGGGATCCAGGCTTCCCGTGCTGTGTTGTGGCTCTTCCGCAGCCTCAGTGATGCAAGAAATCCTACTGATGCCCTTGTTTTCCGTTTGATCCCTGACAGATGATCCAAGAGAGCAAGTGTCTTATCGAAACGGCAGACTCCACTCACGACAAGATCGTGCAGTGTCAGAAAGCAGGTACCTTTCCCTGTTGTGCCGCTCTCCGCGGAAGGGGAGAAATGGGCTGCAGTTTCCTCACAGCTCGTGTCTCTTTGAGCTCCGTTTGCTACCAAAGTTGTCCCCTTACATACAAAGCAGGCAAAGTCCCTGGAGCCCATGGTGATACCCTCTTCCCCTGCCCTTTGCCCTGACTGACTTTCCCATTGAGGTCTCTTTTAGAGATTGGAAAGTGATGCCAAGATGATTCTCTCGCATCGTACTTAGAGCTGTGTTGACGTGCTTATCTAACCAATAGGTATCGGTTCCACAGGCCCAAACCAAAGCAAGTGTGCTTAAATAAGCCAGTTCTGTGGGGCCGGCGCAGCGCTGGGATGTCTCTGCCCAAATTAGGGCCTGGACTTGCATGCATCCCTAGAATGGGAAGAGGTTTGGGAAGTGGCCAGCGCAGGTCTCCGCGGCTAAATATAGGAGTTTGCACAGGTCAGAAACCACGCAGAATAAATGAATGCAGTGTGGTTATTTAGGGGCTGCACTGCTGCCTTAGATCTGTTAGATCTATTTTAGCTGCTACGTTTGTGTGGCTGCCCTTTTTGCAGGTAGGGCTTGTTTGTGGCATCCCTTGCGAGACCATAACAAGCGTAAATGCCGCGATTCCTAATAAGCCTTTTCAGATTTGGCAAGCAACGCAGGCCACAGCCATTTGCTTCCATTAAATGTAAATAATGAATGAAACCGCTGCTCTGCAGTGAGCTCTTTAGTTCCGCTTTTTAATTAGGGGAAATTTGAAAGCGGTTTCAGCCGTAGCATTTAAGTGAGTCCCGATGCGGTGCAGGGCAGCCTGGGACTGGCTCAGTCCTCTGCAGTGGAGAGCTCCGGGGCAGCCCCGTGGCTGCAATTCCCAAGTGCTGGGATTTGGGAGCACAGCTCTGGCCAGGAATGTGCTCAGGGCTCCCATCCCCTGCAAGCCCCACCGTGAAGATCAGTTTCTCAAGGCTGTTCTCCATTTGCCTTAAGAAAGAGACGTTTGTCTCAGTGCATTAGGGGAGGAATAACTGGGAAACAGCTGGGGATTGGCCTCAGTTGATTCCAGCGGGATGGGCTCGGGTGCTTGGGACGATTTGGCGCCGCCTTGGCCTCTGTAAAGCACAGCTGAAGGGAACCCCCTCAGCCATCTCTTCACCCGCTGCAGCCTCTCAGAAGTGTTTGCATACACTGGGCAAGCCTTCCGGGGCTGCTGGGCTAATTGGACTCATTAAGGTTTGTATTTGATCCCAGATTCTCAGGATTCCAGTCTGCAGCCAGAGATTTGCAGGCACTTGCCACTGAACCCGGCAAGGAAAAGCAGTGACTCACAGGGCTTTGGTTGCGGGCGGCAGAGCAAGGCTGGGAGGAGCAGGCTGCAATTAGGAGCTAATTCCTCGTTGAGAAGAAGCTTTTTCTGTGGGGCTGAGAAGATGAGCAGTGAGCCGCAGCCCTGGGCGTGCGGGCGGCTGGAGGGCACGGGGAGGCCGGGGCGCTCGGCAGCGCTGATGCCCTGCTCTCCCCTCTGCAGGGATGGAGTTCCACGAAGAGCTTCATAACCTCGGCACCAAGGAGGGCCTGAAGGGCAGGAAGCTAAGCAAAGCCATCGAAAGTTTCGCCTGGAATATCACGGTGCTGAAGGTAGGCAGAGGAAATGCCAGCTATTAGCTTCATGAACAAACTTCTGCTCTTTCAGTTCACCTGTTGGCACTGTCCTGCTAATGTTAAAGCAAAGCTTTGTTTTAATTGGTGCTATAAAGTACTCCCTTTTGTTGAGATTTGCCCAGTCTTTGCAGCAGACACCTGCAGTGGGAAGCTGCAGAGGGAGGCTGGCCCAGGCCTGAGGAGGATCCTGCTGAGAGATCGGTGGTTTGTGTGCAGGGACCTGCTTTCCATCGCCTGCTCTGCCCCACAAATGGGACCTGCTCAAGGGCATGAAATCTCGGGTGGAAGTGACTTAAATTGGACGTGTCTGGTGCCAGGGAGCTGCTTTGGGCTGGCTCTGGGCCTTCAGAGGAGCCTGCTGAGCAGAAGGGTTGAGGTAGGAAAACCGTCCCAAGGGGATTCAGTGTTTGCTATTCCCTGGAACAGGAGCTGCTCAGAGGGCTGTCAGGAGAGACACAACAGACACAGCTAAAGAGGGCCAGAAAAAGGCACCTGTAGGGTGCACGTTCATATGAATTGCTTTAGCTGTGTTGGGCAAAATACCTGCCTTGTGCTCCGAGCCCCTCTGAACGTGCCTGCAGGTACGCTAAGCTTTTAAATATTTAGGTGCTTGTCAGATGAGAAGCTCGGTCCCCCGACGGTGACCTGTGACTGCTGGAGGTACGGGATGGGTATCGGGGGAGCGTTTCCCATGAAATGTACTTGCTGCCTGGCACACACTGTGAATTTTAACCGGGCGTTATCATCGTTTAATCAACGTCGGGGAATAACTGACGTGTTTCATTATTAAGCCACAACTTCTTTTCTTCCTTCCGTAAGCAGAACGGGTTAAATGTACATTCAGATGGCAGCAGTGCCTGTGACGACGGCCCCTGGTATAAATCCAGCACCTTTTCGTTCTGATTTGAGTCCAGTTCAGCCTTGCTGTCAGAACAGCACCTATATGTCTGATAAGAGATAGTCAGTGGTTATTTTTTAACTTTTTTTTTTTTTCCCTTAAAAAGCACTGAATGCAGCAAACGACAAACCTGCGTGCTGGTTGCACACCGGAGGATCTCTACCAATACATTCCACTATATGTTGGTGGAAACAGTGGCACAGGAATGGAAGATACAGGCTGTAACGTCAGCTGCTTTAAAGTGCAAGAGGTGGGAGAGAGAAGAGCAAAGCACGTGTGGGAGAGCAGGGCTTTGTGTGCCGGGTGCTGCTGCATCATGCAGCCGTAGGCACCGTTCCCTGCGGCTTTGTGTGCAGTGCCCACGGGCAGGAGCAGGTTTTACTCTGTGCTCGTCATGTCAGATGATGAATAGTCTTTTCCTAGGCTCGTGAAGCAGGGGCATATTTAATGAATGTATTTATTTATAAATATTCATTGCAGTAGGTAAGCTTCGAATACAAAGAGAGCCTGCGATAAAATTTGCTCCTGACAAAACCATTAAATAGTTATAGAGCTGAAGATTAAAGTGGATTTTATAGTAATTATAGCTGGGGGCATTCGTGTTTTAAAATGCTTGGGGGTGCCTCTGTAAGGCATAAGGTACTTAATGGGGATGAATCAAGATAATATATTTTTTCCTTTTTTTTTTATATAAACTTAATTATATATTAATAATACCCAGGAGAAGGCCAAACTATTTGCTAGAACATAAAAATGTTAGTAAAAGCAAGGGCTTTATAGCTGACAGTTACAGTAGCAGTTTATAGTGGCAATCTAACAAGTTAACTCGCGTTGAGAAATATTATTAAAATGTCACATCATCTTTTTTGGCACCATGGCACAAAATAATATCAGATGCCCAGTCAGCAATATGAGGGTGCACAAAGGAAATCCAACAGACAGAATAAACACATTTTTGTGTTAATCTTGCTTTCCCATTTGGTTCCTTTCACCACAGCCTTTTAGTCTATTTGCAGTTTGATAATTATTTGAATGCCTGTAAAATGCAAGGAGAATGAGAGATTCTGCATTTAAAATCTCAGAGACGCCTGTGGCTGGGAACAGTGGTGGGTCTTGCTGCTCCTTGAGGAGTCACCCCTTGGGAGGGTCTCCTGCTTGAGGAGGAAAAAGACCCAAATGCCTGAACCTGGTCTCTGCACTAAAATGTATTTCTGCTTTTTGTCATCTTGTGCTGCTGCCCATGATGAGATTTCAGTGGTGCTGCCAAAGGGTGTTTTGTCTCACCGTGGTTCCCAACACCCGTGCATGCTGCTCCCCTCTGCACGCCAGACTGCAAGTGGTTAAACTTCCAGGGACCTTTTCCTCACTGTCCATCAGTGCCCCCGCTAATTATCCTGCCCTTAAATTAGTACTGATCAGATGTATGCAGAAGGAGGTTGCTGAATGCAGAAGGCAGTTATTAAATCACTAATTGACACTGCTCCAGCTGTGACTCTTCAGCTGGGTAGCCTTCCTCACTGGTGTTAATTCAGCTTGTGTTTCTATGATGCAAGTGTCTGCATGGGTATCGAGGGAGTAGAGGAGGAAGCTCTCATGATGTGGGTGCGATCGATACAAGCGCTTTCGTGCAAGGAAAAGACAGTCCTGGAGGAGGGTGACCACAAATGGACCTGTTTCTTCATCATGGTCATTTGTGGCAGTGGGGCTGTCCCTCTCCTGTTGTTTGGGAGACCTGCAGCAGCTTCCAGACCTCTTCCTTGGCGGAGCGGAGTCCCAGCTGCACATCCTCCCCGAAGGAGGCTGTTTGGAGAGGTAAAAATCCAGGTTTCTGACAGATGGATGCAGGCAGGCAGCCTGCACTTACCTGGTGTCGCTTAAACTGAACTGCATTTAGCATTGTCACAAGGTGCAGTTTTTTTGAGGAAAAAAAGCAGAATATCTGACCAACAATTAGCAAATAATACAAAAATATCCCTGTGAACAGTGGTATGGCACAGAGAGAAGCTGCTGATCCAGGTGAGAACTAGCTCCTTTCGTGGCTTTAGTTGAAGGGCTGTAATAATACACTCTGGGAGCGTTCTTAAAGGATGCTTTGCAGTACCCTGAAGTCATTTTATATAAGTAAGATTTAGTGGCACATCCTCACCTCAGCCCTCTTCCCTGCTCTTAGCAAGGGCTCTGGCTTTGCTGCTTGGCCTGTTGCAGAGGAGCCTGGCATTAACAGGGTCGTTGTATATAGTGCAGGGCGACTAGCAGCACGTGCTGCTCCATAATTGCTGCCAAAGGATTTTCAGGGCACTTTACACTGTGCCATTCTTAAATAGGAGTTTTTAAATAATGGTGAAATTGTGATTACCTGTAATGCATCATGCTGCTTACTTCTTCTGTCCTTATGCATGGTTATTGGGCTGTTTTTTCCCTCCTGAAAATATCCTCGTATCTTCCATCCCACCTTTTGCAGCATATCTCTGTGAACCTCAGTACTTTGACGTTCAATCTCCAAAACTGCAAAATAGATGAAAAATTAGAGTGGCTTAGCCACAAATGCTTGTGATTTGCTGTCATCTTGTGACAGTGGGTGGATAGTCCAGCAAGAGCAGTTTGTGCAGCTTGGAGGGCTTGTGCTTGCACTTAAATGCCGGCCCTGTAGGTGCTCCGTGTCTGTGGATCTCCCTAGAAAACCTACTGGAATGTTGTTACCTGGAACATTTTTTCCCTAGAGGAAATGTCTTTTCACAGAGTAAAATGCCTTTTCTGCTCGCTAGTCCCCTGGTTTCTCACCTTTCATTTGCCAGTGCAGTTCAGGGGGTTGATTCTGGCTCTTCAAGCTTGCTCTGTGTTGCGACTTGGCTGCTTTAGGGGTATCTGGTGAGAGTGGGGAGCTACCTCTCTTTGGGGTGACAAATTGCAGAAGCGTATGAGGAGATGCAGAGCTGTTCTGCTGATTCACCTCACTCAGGCTGATCTCAGGAATCAGGGAAGGGCCTTCAGTGAGACCTTGTCTTGGCCCCTTTTTCTTGTGTTTCATTAAAATATGCCAGTATCTCCGCAAGTCTCGAATGCTCTGTAAACTGGGTGGCCATAAAGTAATTCATAGAGTGCAGGGCATGATGAGTGGATGCAAAGAGAGTAACTGGATTTGCTGAGTAACTGGATTATCACCTGTGGAGAAGCTGTTTGAAAGACTGAGCAGATATAATTGCAAACTCCTTGAGGGAACAGATCCTTTGAGGAAAAGGAGCTCTTTTTGCACGTGCGTGTGCCTGGGAAGAAGCAAATTTGAAATGTGGAACAGCCAGACAAACCCAAAATAAAGGCTGAATGGGATAATATGGGTAGCTGTTTCCCACTACGGGCTTTCACGGTGTAGCTAAGGGGTCAGTGTCTTCTCCCATGCCTCAAAGGAGGAGGTGATGGTGCCCACGGGAGCTTGGGCAGCTTGTGCCACCGTGCTCATCCCCGTCCCGGCGGCGTTTCCGTGTGAGACGCGGGTGGCAGAGCCCGCCCTGCTCGGCGCTGCGGGCGTCTCGCAGCACCCGCGAGATGCCCACGTCGGGATTTTGCTTTGCTGCAGCTCTGACAACACGACCTCAATTCAGATGAATTAAAAGGGCTGTAGTGAAAGTGTAAGTTTCAGTAGAATATCACACTTTTTTTTTTAATCTTTTTTTGTTCCTATTTTCCTTTTATCTGTCAGTAGATGAAGTGCTGAAGGCTGCGTGAGGAAGCCTGCGGAGTGGCACTGTGCCGTGGTATGGCACGTGGGGAGGACAGGGAGCGTTCCTGGCGCTCCTGGCTTCCAACCAGCCATTTTCTTCCCAACTGGTGGGCACCCAGGTCCCCTTGCCCGCAGGGGCCTCACAGGAGAGAACTGCAGTTTTCATTACAGCTCACAGCTCTGAGGAGGGAGCTCCATTCTGTCCCAGGATTATGGGTTAATCAGTGTGGCATTTTCCATGTATTGAGACACATGAACATGGATATTCCTCCTTTGTTCCTGTTGGTTAGATTTGCCTGTATCACCTCAGGGCCCGTCTGTTGTTGAGAAAACTTCAGTTATCTCTCTGCACGACCCGGA